CTCTTTTGCACAAGTGAACTCATATGTATTTCTCAAGTTGTTTGTTGGCTGGTGATGACTTCAGCAATTTTAAAATACTAACTGGGCTCAAGAGGATTCATTATCCTTTTATTTACCTCTGGTAGTGAGTGTTCCCTGCTGCAGACTTCTCTTTATGCATTCATTAAGGAAAACACGGTTTGTGAGAACTAAGTGTGCTTTTGGTGTATTTGCGTATAATAAGGAACTTAGAATGATACATTTAGTGTATGCTCTTAGGAAGGATTTTATTTATTTTATGTTATTTTTTGACAGAGTCTCACTCTGTTGCCAGTAGGTGGAGGTGCCGTGGCGTCAGCCTCGCTCACAGCAACCTCAATCTCCTGGGCTCAAGCGATCCTCCTGCCTCAGCCTCCCAAGTAGCTGGGACTACAGGCATGCACCACCATGCCCGGCTCATTTTATCTCTATATTAGTTGGCCATTATTTCTTTCTATCTATACTAGAGATGGGATCATTATATATATATATACATGCCTTGAGAACATTTTAAAGCCTTCTTTGAACTTTGTTTCTTCCTTTGAAAAATGGAAATGAACTTCCACATCAAGTTGGGAAAATTAAATAACATACGAAAAGTATTTTCTCCATAGTAATCATTATAGAAGTGTTAGTACTTATTTACTAAGCAATGCTTGGTTGATGTCCCTTTAATTCTGATCTTAATTGGTTTCATACCTGAAATTGGTGTTTATAGATTTTAGAACTTTATTTATTTATTTATTTGAGACAGAGTCTCGCTCTGTTGCCCGGGCTAGAGTGAGTGCCGTGGCGTCAGCCTCGCTCACAGCAACCTCCAACTCCTGGCCTCAAGTGATCCTCTTGCCTCAGCCTCCAGAGTAGCTGGGACTACAGGCACGTGCCACTACGCCCGGCTAATTTTTTCTATATATATTTTTAGTTGGCCAATTCATTTCTTTCTGTTTATAGTAGAGACGGGGTCTCGCTTTCGCTCAGGCTGGTTTCGAAAGATTTTAGAACTTTAAAATTATGGGTTTTATCATCTTCTGTAAATGAGCAAATGGAATATTGGGTGGGAAAATTAATATCCAGCACTGTGCAGGCCTGCTTTGGGGCAGCATTAGGCTGTTTCGTAGTAATATATGAAATTACAACTTCTTCCTTCCCAAACTTCAACTTAATTTTTAAAGACAGTAAATAAAATACATGCTCATTCTAACAAAGAAAAGAAAGCTACCAATCTCCTCTATTCCCTTGTTATTCCCGTCTTGAGGTTACTAATATTCACAGTTTGGTGTGAAGTCTTCCACGTGCATTCCCTTGCACATTGTGCTTCGTGCTGTTACGAATGTATGAAAACATATAAACAGCCAGGCAGTTTGTGTTATTAAGTGAGGTAGGCCAAGGCAGGTCAGCTGTAGACCCCCCAAAGCAATAAGAAATAGAAAAACAGGTGTATGAACCTGTGGTGCAGTAAGAGATTCCTTGATTGGTAATGAGTTGACCCTTGTGTGGTGACTTGGCCCTTCTTACTAGACCTCGAGCTTTTGAAGAATGAGATCTAGGCCTTAACCATCTCTGTATTCTTAGCCTGCTGTAGTGTCTAGCAGATAACCCAGTTTTTCTCCAGGCGGAAGTCTACAGACACCTGACTCAGATTCATCTGGAGGAGTTTTGTTAACATTTCAGACAATGGGGACACACCCAGAGGTTTGCTAAATGAGATCTCCAGAGGTGAACTGCAACCCAAGATTATAACATAAATGCAATGAGTTTGATGAAGCAACTCATAGTATCCAAGGGCTCCAGACCTTGCCTTCCACACACTTGCTGGCGTGCATGTTACCTACGAGATGAACTTTTATTGGGCATCTACTAAGTGCCAAGCTTTCTGGATACAAAGATAAATGAGGCACACGAACAGCTAAGAGCAGAAACTGTTGAGTCAGAAAGATTTAGTTTGAGTCAGCCTTAGCTACTCGCTAGCCGTATGAATTTCAACAAGTTACTTTACCTCTCTAAGCTTGTTTCCTCTTTTTTATAAAACAGAAGTAACACCTGCATCATAGAATTGATATTAATATTAAACAAGATAACGCACATAAAGGGCTTTGTAAAGTGGTTAGACTATGGCATGCTTTTAATAAATGTTCCCTTTTCTTTCTTGTCTCTCTCTCTCTTTTATTTATTTATTTATTTTTTGTAATTAACAAGCTCACATTCCAGGTAGGGGCTGAATCTCCTGGAAAATTTGGAAATAAGGAAAACAAGGGATTATGTATCAGTTAAATTTTTGTTTTGCAACAAAACTTGGTGATGTAGCCTTTATTGACTCGTCTTTTGGTGGGTCGGCCATTTGGGCTGAGCTCAGCTGGGACGGTTTATCTCTCTGTTCTAGTTTGTGTCATCTGGGCATGCTCACGTGTGAGTGGTCTTGTCCACGCACTGACAGAGACTACGGTGGTGAGTGGCCAGCTGGGGTGCATGGTGGCGGCCACAGGGCTCCCAGGAGCAATGAGAGAGAGCAGGCCCCAGTGAGAAAGCCCATTTCAAGCCATGGCCTGTGTCATGTTTGCTGTCAGTTGCAGCGAGTTTCATAGCAAAGCAAAGCACATGGCCGCGCCCAGGTTCAATGAGCTAAGACTCATGCACCCCTTCCATGGCAATCACGCTGTGCATGTAGGAGATGGAAAGATATTTGTGGCCATGATATATACTTTATTCATCAATCATTCAGGGGTACAAATGTTAGTTACGTATATCTGTTCCTCCCCCCTCGAGTCCTGAGCTTCAAGTTGACCACCCCCAAACGGTGACATCCACCATTGTGTTTGATGTACCCATCCTCCTCCTGCGCACCGCCAACACCCAATGGAAAGTGCATTCCTGTGTGTCACTTAGTGCGATCAGTTAATACCAGTTTGCGGTGAGTGCACGTGGGCCTGTTTCCATCTTGGATACTTACTCAGTAGAATGGCTCCAAGTGGCATACTTTACAAGCTACACAGAATGGATTTTATTGATGGCTTACTCTCTAGTAGCGCTCTGATGTCTATCAGGATATTTACGTGCTGATTCATTGATCCACCAGCAATTTCCTGACACGTGTGGCATTATTACCATTGCAAAGATGGAAAAGCTGATGATCAGAGAGGTTAAGAGGCTTGCACACATTAAGCCCAAATAGGTCGCTGCAAGTTATGGACTGGCCTGTTAGATGCTGTCTTTTGTTGCTTTTTTTTTTTTAAGACAGAGTCTCACTCTGTTGCCCGGGCGTAGAGTGCCGTGGTGCACCCCTGCTCACAGCAACCTCCCAACTCCTGGCCAGGCGTCTCTGCCTCACCCCTACGTAGCTGGCACCAACAGCTGCACCCATGCGGCTAAGTTTTTCTATGATATTTTTAGTTGGCAATAATCTTTCCTTTAAATAGAGATGGCGTTGGCCCAGTCAGGCAGTTTCAGGAACTCTGCACTTGAGTGATTCACTCTGCTCGGCCTCCAGAGTCGCTAGGTTTACAGCATGAGCACCGTCCGCGCCCATATGTTATTTTTTTTCAAAACCTTAGGGTAGCCTGGCAGTCCCTCCCTGCCTCAGCCAGCCCCGAGAGCTGCGACAAGGCTCGTCATAGCCCGGCCTAATTTTCTCTATATATTTTAGTGGCCAATTAATTTCTTTCTATTATAAAGAGACGGGTCAGAGCCTAGCTCAGAGCAACCTCAAACTCCCTGCGGCATCAAGTGATCCTCCTGCTTCAGCCCCCAAATTAGCTGTTTTCTATATATATATTTGTGGCCAATTATCTTCTATTTTAGTAGAACGGGGTCTAGCTCTTGCTCAGGCTGGTTTCGAACTCCTGACCTTGAGAGCGATCCTCCTGCCCCGGCCTCCCAGAGTGCTGGGATGACAGGCGTGAGCCACCCCACACTCAGCCTGTTGCTTCTATCTGTGTCCCAACCCCGGGCTGTGGACCGGTACTGGCCCATGGTCCTTTGGGAACTGGACCGCACAGGAGGAAGTAAGCTGCAGGTGAGTGAGCCAGAGAAAGCTTCATCTGTGTTCACAGCCGCCCCCCACTGCTCGCATCACGGCACAAGCTCTTCCTCCTGTCTGATCAGCAGCGGCATCACAGATTCTCATAGGAGCAAGAACCCTGCTGTCAACTGCGCACGCCAGGGATCCGGGCTGCGGCTCCTCATGAGCATCGGACGCCTGGTGGTCGGAGGTGGAGCTGAGGCGGTGATACTAGCCCTGGGGAGCGGCTGCAAATACACTTGATCATTAGCAGAGAGGTTCGACCGCACGCTAAACATAATGCGCTTGAATCATCCTGAACCCATCCCTCCCCAACCCCCTCCAATCCCCCAGTTTGGTCTATGGAAAAACTGTCTTCCATGAAACTGGTCCCCGGTGCCAAAACGGTTGGGGACCGCTGGCATACTCGATCGGATGACGAGTCGACGAGGCGGAAGGTGCATGCACGCTTTCTTTAATGCAGATGTGGTTGCAGTGGCACTCCAGAGACTAGTGGAGTTTCTCACTTGCAGGTTGAACCACCGGGTGACATATTTATCTGGCATAGAAAAAAAAAAAAAAAAGTGGAGACGTCACGGTCTTTAAGACTCTGCAGAATCTGGTGGGAGTCTGATGTGTTGTCTTTCTTTGTTTGTTGCCAGAGCAGCCACGCGGCCTGGCTCTCGCTGCGTTTTGGACATGCCCGGGCCCCTGCAATGGGCCAGGTGTCACTGGAGGCGGCTCGTCGGGGGGACTGGTGGGGACCAGGACGGCCAGAGGCGCTGCCGCTACTCCTCGCTGCTCCCCTGCGCGGGCAAGTCCTCCCAGAGCCCCAGGCTGGCGAGGAAGCACCGCATGGTCGTCCCCAACCCCTGGCCCTTCCAGGAGGAGCACGAGAAGTTCTCGGGAGCCTACGTGAATAACCGCATTCGGACGACAAAGTACACGCTTCTGAATTTCGTGCCGAGAAATTTGTTCGAGCAGTTTCACAGGTACTTTTATTTTAGAGGGGGAGGGAAAAAAAACAAAAAAAACCAAAACACAGCACCCTTACGATCCTCTTTGTCACTCGAGTCGATATGTGACATTTTCCATTTTCCTAACCCTGTATATTGCTTAAGCCTCCAAGGACTTGCGACGTCACCTAGGACTCGTGACGACACCTAGGACTCGTGACGTCACCTAGGACTCGTGACGACACCTAGGACTCGTGACGACACCTAGGACTCGTGACGGTACAGGCTGACGCCACGGCACTCACTCTAGCCTGGGCAACAGAGTGAGACTCTGTCTCAAAAAAAAAAAAAAAAAAAGTAAGGAAAATCTGAAAATAAAAGGCAGCACGATCAATGGAAAGAGCACGAGGCAAGAGCGAGGAGCCAGAGCTGGAGCCCTGGTCCGCTACGCGTCCTGGCACGACGGCGACTGAGTCTCAATTGCTCCCTGACTTAAGAATATGAGAAGCAACAGTCCTTTCTGGAAAAACAGAAGGCATCTTCCCCATCGCCAAGCGCCGCGTGAGTGTGAACAGTCACCCTCATCCCCGAGAGACTCTGGGATTGTCGAGAATGGCGTCACGATCCTAGGTGTCGTCCACGAGTCCTAGGTTGTCGTACGGAGTCCTAAGTGTCGTCAAAGTCCTAGGGAGGTTTAAGGAACATACAGGGTTAGAATGGAAAATGTCAATTCGACCAGAGTGACAAAGAGGATCGTAAGGGTGTTGGTTTTGGTTTTTTTTTTTGTTGTTTGTTTTTTTCCTCCCCCTCAAAACAAAAGTACCTGTGAAACTGCTCGAATAAATTTCTCGGCCAGCGAATTCAGAAGCGTGTACTTTGTCGTCGAATCGGGTTATTACGTAGGCTCCGGAGACTTCTCGTGCTCCTCTTGAAGGGCCAGGGTTGGGGACCCATCCGGTGCTTCCTCGCCAGCCTGGGGCTCCGGGAGGACTTGCCCGCGCACGGGGAGCAGCGAGGAGTAGCGGCAGCGCCTCTGGCCGTCCTGGTCCACCGGTGCCCCCAACGAGCGCCTCCAGTGACACCTGGCCATTGCAGGGGCCGGCATGTCCAAAACGCAGCGAGAGCCGGCCGCGGCGTGGCTGCTCTGGCAACAAACAAACAAAGACAACACATCAGACTCCCACCAGATTCTGCGAGTCTTAAAGACCGTGACGTCTCCACTTTTTTTTTTTTCTATGCAGATAAATATGTGACCGGCTGGTTCAGCCTGCAAGTGAGAAACTCCACTAGTCTCTGGAGTGCCACTGGCAACACATCTGCATTAAAGAAAGCATGCATGCACCTTCGCCTCTTCGACTTGTCATCCGATCGAGTACGCCAGAGTCCCCAACCGTTTTGGCACGGGGCACCGTTTCATGGAAGACAGTTCTTTCATGACCAAACTGGGGGATTGGGAGGGGGTTGGGGGAGGGATGGGTTCAGGATGTTCAAGAGCGCATTATGTTGCTGCGCTCGAACCTCTCTGCTAATGATCAAGTGTATTTGCAGGCGCTCCCCAGGGCTGTATCACCGCCTCAGTTCACTCGCCCACCAGGCGTTCCGATGCTCATGAGGAGCCGCAGCCGGATCCCTGGCCGTGCGCAGTTGACAGCAGGGTCTTGCTTCCTATGAGAATCTGTGATGCCGCTGCTGATCAGACAGGAGAGAGCTTTGTGCCGTGATGCGAGCAGTGGGGGGCGGCTGTGAACACAGATGAAGCTTTCTCTGGCTCACTCACCTGCAGCTTACTTCCTCCTGTGCGGTCCAGTTCCCAAAGGACCATGGGCCAGTACCGGTCCACAGCCCGGGGGTTGGGGACTACAGATAGAAGCAACAGGCTGAGTGTGGGGTAGGCCACGCCTGTCATCCAGCACTCTGGGAGGCCGGGGCAGAGGATCGCTCTCACAGGTCAGGAGGTTGAACCACCTGCGCAAGAGCTGACCCCTCTACTAAAATAGAAGATAAATTGGGCCACAAATTATATATAGAAAACAGCTAATTTGGGGAAGCTGAAGCAGGAGGATCCTTGAGCCAGGAGTTTGAGGTCTCTGAGTAGGCTCTGACCCGTCCTATTATAATAAAGAAATTATTGGCCACAAAAATATATAAAGAAAAATTAGAGCCGCCATATGACGGCCGTGTACGCAGCTCTCGGGGTGGCTGAGGCAGGAGGATGCCAGTACCCTAAGGTTTTGAAAAAAAAATACATATGGGCGCGGCACGGTGCTCATGCCTGTAAAACCTAGCGACTCTGGAGCCGAGCAAGAGGATCATCAGTGCAGAGGTTCTGAAACTAGCTGACTGGCCAGACCGCCATCTCTATTTAACAGGCAAAGATTATTGCCAATAAAATTCATAGAAAAACTTAGCCGGCATGGGTGGCGCATGTAGGGTGCCAGCTACGTAGGAGGCTGCAGGCAGGAGACGCCTGAGCCCAGGAGTTGGAGGTTGCTGTGAGCAGGGGCTGACACCACGGCACTCTCAGCCCGGGCAACAGGAGTGAGACTCTGTCTTAAAAAAAAAAAGAAGCCAACAAAAGACAGCAGTCTTAACAGGCCAGTCCAGTACTTGGCAGCGACCTATTTGGAGCTTGAATGTGTGCAAGCCTACCTTACCTCTCTGTCATCAGCTTTTCCATCTTTGCATGGTCAATATGCACACGTGTTCAGGAAATCTGCCTGGGGATCATGAATAGCACGATAAATACCTGATAGACATCAGAAGCCTGACTAGAGAGTAAGCCATCAATAAAATCCATTCTGTGTAGCTTGTAAATATGGCCACTGGAGCCCATTCTACTGAGTGAAGTATCCCAAGAATGGAACACAGGCCCACGTGCACTCACCGCAACTGGTTTAACTGATCAGACTAAGTGGACACACAGGAATTCGCACATTTCATTGGGTGTTGGCAGAGTGGCAGGAGGATGGGTACATGAAAACACAATGGTGGATGTCACCGTTTGGGGGTGGTCAACTTGAAGCTCAGGACTCGAGGGGGGAGGAACAGATATACGTAACTAACATTTGTACCCCTGAATGATTGATGAATAAAGTATATATCATGGCCACAAATATCTTTCCATCTCCTACATGCACAGCGTGATTGCCATGGAAGGGGTGCATGAGTCTTAGCTCATTGAAACCTGGCGGCCATGTGCTTTGCTTTGCTATGAAACTCGCTGCAACTGACAACAGGCCATGGCCTTGAAATGGGCTTTCGTCACGGGGCCTCGCTCTCTTCATGCTTCCTGAGACCTGTGGCGCCACATCGCCCGCGGGCCACTCACCACCGTATCTCTTGGTCAGTGCGTGGACACAGACCTCTCACGTGCGCTGCCAGATGAACCAACAGAACAGAGGATTACCGTCCCAGCTGAGCTCAGCCCAAGATGGCGATCCGACCCACAAAGACGAGCAATAGGGCGTACAAATCAACCATTTTGTTGCAAACAAAATTTAACTTGAACGGAACTAATCCCTGTTTCTTATTTCCAAATTTTCCAGGAGGATTCAGGCCCCTACCTGGATGTGAGTGTTAATTACAAAAAATAAATAATAAATAAAAAGAGAGAGAGAGACAAAAAGAAAAGGAACATTTATTAAAAGATGCCATAGTCTAACCATTACAAAGCCATTATGTGCGTTTCTTGTTTTAATTAATATCAATTCTATGATTGCAGGTATTCTGTTTTTATACAAAGAGTGAACAAGGCTTGAGAGGTAAGTAATGTGGTTGAATTCATACGGCTAGCGTGTAAGGCTCGACTCAAACTAAATTCTTTCGTGGACTCAACAGTCTGCTCTTAGGCTGTTCGTTGTTTGCCTATTAATCTTTGTATCCAGAAAGCTGGCACTTGTAGATGCCAACTAAAGTTCATTCTCGTAGGTAACATGCGCCAGCAAGTGTGTGGAGGGCGAGGTCTGGAGCTTGATATATGGTTGCTTCATCAAACTCATTGCATTTCTGTTATAATCTGTTTGAGTTGCATTTCACCTTGGGATTATTTGCAAACCTCTGGGTGTGTCCCCATGTGAAATGTTAACAAAAGTCTCCAGATGAATCTGATCAGGTGTTCTGTAGATTGCGGCCTGGAGAAAACTGGGTTATCGCTAGACTACAGCAGGTAAGAATACAGAGATGGTTAAGGCCTAGATCTATCTCAAAAGCTCGATCAGTAAGAAGAAGTCAACACAAGGGTCAATCATTACAGATCAAGGAATCTCTTACTGCACACAGGTCATAACGTTTTTCTTTTCTTATTGCGTTTGGGGGTACGTGACCTGCCTTGGCCTACCACCTTCATAACCAAACATGCTGGCTGTTTATCTGTTTTCATACATTCGTAACACACGAAGCACAATGTGCAAGGAATGACGTGAGATTCGAACACAACTGTGATATTGTAACCTCAAGACGGGAATAACACGGAATAGAGGACATGGTATTCTTTCTTTGTTAGAATGAGCATGTATTTGATTTATGTCTTTAAAGAGATTAGTTGAGGTTTGGGAAGGAAGAATTTATGTTCAATATTCTACGAAACAGCCTAATCGCTGCCCAGCGGCTGCACAGTGCTGCGATATTATTTCCCACCAAATATTCCATTTGCTCATTTACAGAAGATGATTAAACCCATATTTAAAGTTGTAAATCTTTCGAAACCATCTGAGCGAAAGCGAGACCCGTCTTCTATAACAGAAAGAAATTGAATTGGCACTAAAAATATTATAAGGAAAAAATTTAGCCGGGCGTAGTGGCACGCCTGTAGTCCAGCTACTCTGGAGCTGGGCAGAGGAACTTGAGGCAGATTGAGAGGTTGTGTGGACGAGGCTGACGCCACGGCACTCACTGTAGCCCGGGAGACAGAGCGACCTGCTCAAATTAATAATAATATTCTAAATCTATAACACATTTCGGTTGAAACATTAAGGTGCAGAAATTAAAGGGAATCACAGATTGCTATAATGTACTACTTCTATAATGATACTATGAGAATACTTTGTATGTTATTAAATTTTCCGATTGATGTGAAGTTCATTTCCATTCAAAGGAAGAACAAATCAAATGAAGCTTTAAATGTTCTCAAGGCATGATATATTATTATAATCATGGACTCCGTGCCTTTCCACAGCACGTTTTATTACTAAAATTTTAAATAATCATAATAAACATTTAATTTACATTATCTAACTATAGTTTTTTTTAGTTTGAAAAAATCTTCACGCGGCGCTGTGGCTCACGCCTGCAATCCAGCACTCTGGGAGGCTAGAGGCGGGGACGGTCAGTAGGATCGACCAGCTGGCAGAGCGAGACTCATTCTCTGTATAGATAGAAAGATGTTAATTGGCAATCTATATAGAGATAATGAGCCGCATGTGGTGCATGCCTGTTTCCCAGTACTTGGGAGTGAGGCGGAGGATCGCTTGGCCAGGATGAGGTTGCTTTTGTTCTTTGAGCGAGGCTGACGCCACGGACTCATCTCTAGCCTGGCAACAGAGTGGTCTGTCTCAACAATACTAAAATAAATAAATTTCAGCTACGCATAGGCTATGTATCTCTAAGTCCTTATACGCCAAATAAACAAAGACACTAGTTTCAACGTGTTTTCCTTAGAAGGTAAAGGAGTCTGCAGAGGAACTTAAAATAATCCTGAGCTTGATTACACTCAACAAACATGGAAATACATATGAGTTCACTGTGAAAAGAGAAACTGTCATGTTAGTCTCGTGGCTCTATGTTTGTTTCTTTACACTCGATGCATCGAAATCCTAAGCAGCCTCCTGGTTTTCTCAGGGGAGGTCAATTGATTGTCTCGATTGCAGTAGCGTGTGCTGCTGGTCCCGCCACACTTTGAGAAACTGCTTTATGCTATAGCATTATGCAGATGTAAAGTTTATCTCTTCTTCACCTAGGACTCGTGACCTCACCTAGGACTCGTGACGCCATTCTCGACAATCCCAGAGTCTCTCGGGGGATGAGGGTGACTGTTCACACTCACGCGGCGCTTGGCGATGGGGAAGATGCCTTCTGTTTTTCCAGAAAAGAGACTGTTGCTCTCGTATTACTTAAGTCAGGAAGCAAGTTGAGACTCAGTGGACGTCGTGCCAGGGACGCGTAGCGGACCAGGGGCTCCAGCTCAGGCTCCTCGCTCTTGTCTCCTGCTCTTTCCACTGAATCATGCTGCCTTTTATTTTCAGATTTTCCTTACTTTTTTTTTTTTTTTTTTTTTTTTGAGACAGGGTCTCACTTTGTTGCCCAGGCTAGAGTGAGTGCGGTGGCGTCAGCCTAGCTCACAGCAACCTCAACCTCCTGGGCTCAAGCAATCCTCCTGCCTCAGCCTCCCGAGTAGCTGGGACTACAGGCATGCACCACCACGCCTGGCTAATTTTTTCTATATATTTTTAGTTGACCGATTAATTTCTATTTTTAGTAGAGACGGGTCTCGCTCTTGCTCAGGCTGGTTTCGAACTCCTGACCTTGAGTGATCTGCCTGCCTCGGCCTCCCAGAGTGCTGGGATTACCGGCGTGAGCCACCGTGCCCGGCCAAGATTTTCCTTATTTGATAATATGGAGAAATAGAGCTCCAAAGCCATGCAGATGTAAGATGCTGTTAGGTGAATCAGTGACATAGTTCAGCTTAATACACATCGATTGACACTCTACTGTGAGTTTAGGCACTCAAGGAAATTCAGGTGGAATTGTGGCTCTTTTCCTTGTGGAGTTTTCGGTTGAGCGTGGGAAACGATATATGTATACAAACAACAAAAAGACACAGGGGGTGCGATGAGCATTATAAAGTGCTATGAAGTAGAACGAAGTCTCAGAAAGATAGATAACAATACTAACTGGAGCAATAGAAGGGAAAGTAGCATTTGGATTAACTATGGAGGGTGGGGGGGATTTTCAAGGCAGAGGCATGGCCAAAAGCATGTTTCAGAGGGAGGAAGGGGTATGAGTAGGAGCATGAAGGCAAGCTCCAAGCCCGGGAAGCAGTCCTGTCTCACTTACTCGTAGCATCTGTGCCAGGGAGCACCTGGAAGTGAAGTCAGACAGGTGGGAATAACCCTACTTACAGATACTACGGGTTCGATGTTGGAAATTAAGCGAAAGGAGTAAAAAAAAAAGACCATGACATGAACGTGTCGAGCTGTGACGATCAGAAGGATTAGCAGAAAAAAGAGAGACGGGAGTCAAAAGAAGCTGGGCTGGAGGATGGTTTTGTTTCTGCCAGTGTTGTGTTTGCGATGCTGATGCGAGCATAAAGATTCTCGGCACTCCTTATTCGTTCTGCGTTTATTCATTCTCATTATTCATTCTATGTGTGTTCGGTACACACGTATTAGACAGTGGCTACGCTTGAAGTGCAGATGTGAATTGGTTGAATGAATGATCCAAGTGCTTTGGGTGTCGGTATCTTTTATTATAAGAGTCTGCAATCTAGTGCACTCGATGGGATAAAAATCTGACCCTTGAACAGGGTTCAGAGCTAGAGCTGCGGGTTTGGATGTGGTCCACATGGCGATAATTGAATCCACAGAACCAAAGAAAGTAAAAGGAATTGGAAGTGAGGAAGAAGTATGTGTGGATTATTCTTTCGGGAAGTTTCATAGCCAATGGGAAAATATGTAATAAAAATTCAAGGGCAGGATGGCAGGATTGAGATTTTTGTTTTTCTTTTAAGGGAAAGGGTGTCTTGAATTTACCTCATGGCTGTGAAAATAAGGAACCGGTGGAGAAGTAGTTGGACATATAAAATAGAGGAACGGAAGAAGTTCTTTAAGAAAGTGGTTCTAAATAGCATAAAAGAAGGATTAGAAGGGTTAGTCCCAAGAAGAAGAAAAAAAAAAACTCAGGCTTTTCTCCTTATTTTGAGCCTTATTTGAATGTAATGTTGGCACACACAAAAGGCTAGAGACTTGATTTGGGGGTTTTTTGTTTGTTTATTTTTATAACACATTAGCCTTGGATGTTTTCTAAATGTTTCTGAAAAGGCAGAAACATTTAAAATTGCCTTTAAAAAGGCAATAATACTGTTTCCTATTGTGCCTTTTGTCAGCTCGACTGACCCACTGAGATATTTATTACTATTATATATTTTAATAAATAGTATCTCACATTTTTTAAAGTGTGACATGAGCCAGATGTCCAGGAGGGAAATGAATCATTCATTCGGATTTGTTATATTTTGCTAGTTTTCCGTCTGTAACATACTAAACCAACACTTAACAGGAAAACACAATAAGGTATTTTGCTTCTTTATAGCAGTCCTTGAAGCAACTTGTGAACATCTTTTTTTGTGTTTGGGTTGCAGAGCCGCCAATTTATATTTCCTGTTCCTCGTGGTCCTGAACTGGGTGCCTTTGGTAGAAGCCTTCCAAAAGGAAATCACCATGCTGCCCCTCCTGGTCGTCCTGACGATCATCGCGATTAAAGATGGCTTGGAAGATTATCGCAAATACAAAATTGACAAACAGATTAATAACTTAGTAACTAAAGTGTATAGTAGGTAAGTGGCATGGGAACTTTGCCATAGAACTGTTGTTTCCCCAAAAATAAGCCCTACCCATACAATAAGCCCCAGCAGGATGTCTAAGCATGTGCGCAATAGAAGCCCCACCCCGAAAATCAGCCCTAGTGATGGGCGTGGCTATGAAAATAAACCCTGGTGGTGGGCGTGGCTATGTAAATAAGCCCTGGTGATGGGCGTGGCCATGAAAATAAGCCCTAGTGATGGGCGTGGCTGCGCAGCGCATCTGCACAACCCATGCGTGTTATTGCAGAGCGGGAAAGAACACGAGCAGCCCTTCTCATCCCCCCTGTGAGAGCTCTAGTGCTCCACAGGAGAGATCGGGGCCAGTGGTTCTAAAGGAAATACAGTTGCAAGAAATTCAGGATGGAATTCGGGGTTTGGAGAGTGATGATGATGTTCCAGAAGAAGAGGACTTCACTCTATTTGAATCAATGTAGATTTTGTTGTACCGTCCTTAAAAAGAATAACACATCCCCTGAAAATAAGCCCTAGGGTGTTTTCTTGGGGAAAAATAAATATAAGACCCTGTCTTATTTTTGGGGAAACATGGTATATACACTTGTCTCATTTAGAAACATGCAGAATGTGACTTTTTTTTTCCCCACTTAGATGTTAGCAGAACCCTTTTTGTGTTTTTTGTTATTGTTGTTAGTATTGTTGTTTTCAATTAACATTTCTTAGAAAAGTCCTGCAGTGAATTTAATTCAGGTGTCAGAGGAAAACAAAAACATATAAGCCATTGTCAACCAGGAGTTGACAAAGCAAAAACCTCTATAACTCGTGTATAAGTGGAATTGAAAAAAATTAAGGGCTGGGCGCGGTGGCTCACGCCTGTCATCCTGGCACTCTGGGAGGCCAAGGTGGGTGGATTGCTCGAGGTCTGGAGTTTGAAACCAGCCTGAGCAAGAGTGAGACCCCGTCTCTACTATAAATAGAAAGAAATTAATTGGCCAACTAATATATATATATACACAAAAAAATTAGCCAGGCATGGCGGTGCATGCCTATAGTTCCAGCCACTGGGGAGGCTGAGGCAGGAGGATCGCTTGAGCCCAGGAGTCGGAGGTTGCTGTGAGCTAGGCTGACGCCACGGCACTCACTCTAGCCTGGGCAACAAAGTGAGACTTTGTCTCAAAATAAATAAATAAATAAATACGCTTCATACCATAAGAAGGAAAGCAAGCAGATAGTTTTTAACCCTAGATGTTGCATTAATAATTTAGGATTAAGAAGAGGATGGGATATGAAAATAAGAATGAATATGGATGGATGTGAAAAACAAGATGGGATATAAAAATGAAAAGACAGGAGCTGTCGATAGAGGAAAAGGATTGTGAAGAATGGAGAAGAGTATTATTTTCTTTTTGTGCACAAAACTAGAGGCGTCCTGTTGCAGCTACAATAAAGGATATTCATGAAAGGAGGTCTTTTCAGGGCCATATTTGCTGAGCTGGAGGCCTGGTATTTCCAGTATTTATGAAATAGAAAGTCTGTGTAGCCAAGAATAAACTCAATTGCGGTGAGTTTTGAACAGTGGTATGTAGTATATGCAGCTCCTGGGTTTTTATTCTTAAATGGAAGTTAATACTTATTTAACAGTATAGACAAGTATAACTTGTCTTCAATCTTATGTGAGCCAAAGAGGAAAAGGTTAGAGAAGATTTCTCCAAAGAAGTGATATTTAATCTGAAACCTGCAGGATTCTGAATTTTGTTCACTATTAGAATTCATCAGTGGCCTTCACATTTGTTTTAAAGATCTGTTAAGAAAACAGGGGAAAGAACTCTTTTTCTCCTTTTTTAAGATGACGTGAGATTACTTGGATAATGAAAATTTAGCTCTATTTTTTTTTCTCGTACTCACGTCCAATCTGAAGGGAACCAGAGAAACTGATGTCTTGTGTAAAAATATGGAATAATTGTTGTAAGTCCACGGTTTTCTTGTTAAAGCCATAGAACATATTACCACAACAGTCGTATGACTCTTTCAATAATGTTTGAGTGCTGTGCTTACAATATCCCAGGGATAGAGAGGTGAAATGTTGGTATAGTCTCTACCCCCAAAAAATAGCTATAAGAAATAGCTTAATACTTTACACCAGGGGTCCTCAGACTACGACCCGCGGGCCACATGCGGTCCACTGAGGACATTTATCTGGCCCGCCAGGTGTTTTAGCCACCGCTGCCTGTCCTGCTTAGCAGCCGCTGCCTGTCCTGCTTAGCAGCCGACTCGTCCCGGGCCCACAGTGCGCACTCTCCAATGGTCTAAGGGACAGTGACCTGGCCCCTGTTTACAAAGTTTGAGGACCCCTGCTTTTATACACTATTTTACATGGTTTGGGGCTTGATGTTCTTTTTAAACTTTTTTTTTTTTTTTTCTTTTTCCATTTTAGGAAAGAGAAAAAATACATGGACCGACGCTGGAAAGAAGTTACTGTCGGTGACTTTATTCGCCTCTCCTGTAACGAGGTCATCCCTGCGGACATGGTGTTGCTCTTTTCCTCCGATCCGGATGGGATCTGTCACATCGAGACTTCCGGGCTGGATGGAGAGAGCAATTTAAAGCAGAGGCAGGTGGTTCGAGGCCAGGCAGAGCAGGTGAATAATGTGTTCCCAGGTGGCGACCAATTAACTTTATTTTTTTTCCAGAAGATAACTGAGCTCATTTTTACCGTACAAAAGAGAGACAAAGAGAATTTTAGATTACTTATTTTTGCCATGACAAAACAGAATCCCAGAAGGTTTAATCCATTTCCAGGTATCGGTGAAAGTGTATTTATTGTATTTTTATAGGTAATAGGATAGGACTTTGGAGTTCCCATATTTCAGACCGGCAATCATGTTTTCTGTAATGCAATTAAAGGAACCCAAACAGAATTGTTTTGCAATTCGGAAAATTATTTTGCAAGGGAAATAATCACCTGCTCATTATTTTTCTTAAGCTTAGAGTTTATATCTTACGTTTTTTTTTTGTTGTTGTTGTTCATTGTTCTAATATCTACAATTACTGACATAGCAAACCTTCTAAGACTTTGTGGCTTCTCTTGCCACCGAAATTCTAGACCTCAAACTACGGCCCGTGGGCCACATGCGGGCCTTGAGATGAAGTATTTTAAAATTTAATGTTTTTTTATTATTATTATTTTATTATTATTATTATTTTTACCTGAACCACTGTGAAGTCAGGGTTCCTTCATCTTGTAAACCAAAAAATGTTTCAGCCTAGTAATAATGCTCTTATCTTTGGCAAATTTTGTGTCTCATTGTGCCCGTCTTTCTATCTGTAGCTGTCATTTAGATATTCTGTGACTGATATGGCTCTCAGACTACTGTCGTTTCACTTTTGTAAGCAGTCCTGCACCTGAGATGTTGGTAAAAATCTTGCACAACTTAAATTTCTGTTGTTCCACAAAAGACCTACTTTTAGGCTGAAGTCAGTTGATTGGCTGATTTTTTTTTTTTTTTTAACTTTTAAAAATTAATTAATTTATTTATTTTTGAGACTGAGTCTCACTCTGTTGCCCGGGCTAGAGTGAGTGCCGTGGCGTCAGCCTAGCTCACAGCAACCTCAAACTCCTGGGCTCAAGCGATCCTCCTGCCTCAGCCTCCCGAGTAGCTGGGACTAACCAAGTGAACGCCACCATGCCCGGCTAATTTTTTCTACATACTTTTAGTTGGCCAATTAATTTATTTCTATTTATAGTAGAGACGGGGTCTTGCTCTTGCTCAGGCTGGTCTCGAATGATTGGTTGATTAATCAGCACACTGTGGGCTCAATGAAGGGTGAGCTCTTTGGAATCCAATGACCTTGATTGTCATCCTGGTCCAAATACCTTCTTGTTTTGAGAGCTTTTGCAAATCACTGACACTCTTTGTGTTTCTCTCGTCATCTATTAATTAGGCCTAATTATGGTAGCTACCTCATGGGGTTGTGGAGAAGAAATGAGTTAATATATTTAAAGTGCATAATAGCTTCTAGTCCATCAAAAGAACGCCATAGATATTATAGCAAATCAAATCATATGATCATATAATTCACATTTTTTCATATGCTTTCGATGATATACATATTAATATTTTATGAGATATGTAAATACCATAGCATTTATTTTAGTAGCCAAAAAGTCATGTGAAAAATTTTTAAAAAGGGGTTGATTTGGCTTATTCTTAGAGAATCCACAACTTTCAGGATCTGTGTTTTATAAAGGCACTTTGCTTATTTGCTCATTCATTTCATAAAGCGTATTAAAATTATCTGCTTGATCCATTAGAGAATTTTGTAAGACATGGATATGTCCAGCTTATTTTTAAATCTTTATTTATAAAATTTGGCTGAGATCAAGCGCATATGTGCTCGAAGTGTTCACATATATATATTTTTTTAACATTTTTTTCTTATTTTATTTATAAAAAAATATTTAAACTCATTTCTCTCTCTTTTTTTTTTTGTCTCCTGAAGTTCATTAGGATGGCGCACACATATATATTTAATCTCAGAAATTACCTATATGATTAAAGACCACAACAAAAGTATTTTCAGTTTTTCAGTGCTTCGTTGATAAAAGAGTGTTTATAAGTAGAACTCCCTTCTGGAGAGTCCTGGATAAATTTCAATAAATGATCCAGACATTCCCATCACCTACACATACTCATTAATGCTTGAGACCATTCTGATCCCAATTATGAGTCCCCTAATTATGCCTATACTTTCTTTAATCTGGGAAATATGATATAAACTTTGTGGCAAAATAGCCTTATTAAGAACTGATGGAGGCTGGGTGTGGTGGCTCATGCCTGTGATCCTAGCACTCTGGGAGGCCGAGGTGGGAGGATCATTGGAGCTCAGGAGTTCGAGACCAGCTTGAGCAAGAGCAAGACCCCGTCTCTACTAAAAATAGAAAGAAATTAATTGGCCAACTAAAAATAGATAGAAAGAATTCGCCAGGCAGGGTGACGCATGCCTGTAGTCCCAGCTACTGGGGAGGCTGAGGCAGGAGGATCGCTTGAGCCCAAGAGTTTGAGGTTGCTGTGAGCGAGGCTGATGCCACTGTACTCTCTAGCCCAGGCAACAGAGTGAGACTGTCTCAAAAAAAAAAAAACAAAAAAAAACAATTGATGGACATAACACACTTAAGTGTCAAGGGTTTAACCTTGAATTCTTGTTGTTTTGTGATTTTTTTGAAATATTTTTAGGACTCTGAAGTTGATCCCGAGAAGTTCTCCAGTAGGATAGAATGTGAAAGTCCAAACAATGATCTCAACAGATTCCGAGGTTTCCTGTGAGTGATGCATGACTTGCCTTTGTGGGTGTGAGTGGCATTGTGTGTTGCAATTATTATTATTTTTTCTTTTTTAAAAATATTAAATACATTTATTTATTTTTTTTTTTACTTTTTTTTTCTTTTTTTACAGAGGAAATAAAACAGGCATGTGTGTTGCAATTATGCTTAACTCAATAAAACTTTTGTGTTCTTATACCCATGGCAAACAACTAAAGGCCATAAGTTTAGCCATCTATAAATTTAGCTTATTTTAATAATTTGATAAATATTTACCTATACATATGTGTGTGTATATATATGTATATATGTGTGTATATATACACACACACACACACATATTTTTAGCTGGTGCTTACCTGGGAATGTTACATGGAAATGAGAATTAATTTCCTCATCTATTTTATTAAAAAGTCGAATTAGGCCGGGTGTGGTGGCTCACGCCTGTAATCCTAGCTCTTGGGAGGCCGAGGCAGGCGGATTGCTCAAGGTCAGGAGTTCAAAACCAGCCTGAGCAAGAGCGAGACCCCGTCTCTACTATAAATAGAAAGAAATTAATTGGCCAACTGATACATATATATATAAAAAAAAAAAATTAGCCGGGCATGGTGGCGCATGCCTGTAGTCCCAGCTACTCGGGAGGCTGAGGCAGGAGGATCGCTTGAGCCCAGGAGTTTGAGGTTGCTGTGAGCTAGGCTGACGCCACGGCACTCACTCTAGCCTGGGCAACAAAGCAAGACTCTGTCTCAAAAAAAAAATAAAAATAAAAAAATAAAAAGTCGAATTAGATTAAACTTGAGGATGCTTCTAACTCTGACAGTCTCCTTGTACATGAGCCTGTGCATATAAAGGAATGCAAACCTACACCTATTAGAAAAAAGTGCTTTACAGATTATGGGAGTGAAATGACAAATCTGTTTTCCTCTTTCTTTTCGGTACGAAACCTTCTTTGAAGAATTTTTATTTTCTTTCCATTGTCATGCCAGATAGCAAGGAGAGCAGATATGTTGACAATTTTTACATATGCCATAAAGAAGCAACAAGTTGTAGACTGAAGTTTATTGCTTAGGAAACAGCCTAATTTTAATGCTGAAATTAAGAGGACATTTTAAAAATATGTGAAAAATGACTCTTTGCTTATTTGTTTAAATATTCTGGTGATTTTGCTCAGTATTTTTGCCACTACGGTAATTTAGTCAACGAATTACTTTGATAATTTTAAAATGATTTATTACAAAAAATTTCAAGCATGTACAAGTGGAAAGAAAAGTATAATGAGCACCCATGTGCCACTATAGAGCATTAGCTATTTCACAGTTTTGCCAACTTTGTTTCTTTTTTTTTTAATTTTTATTTTTTTTAATTTTTTTAATTTTTATTTTTTTGAGACAGAGTCTCACTCTGTTGCCCAGGCTGGAGTGAGTGCCGTGGCGTCAGCCTCGCTCACAGCAACCTCCAACTCCTGGGCTCAAGCGATCCTCCTGCCTCAGCCTCCCGAGTAGCTGGGACTACAGGCGTGTGCCACCATGCCCGGCTCATTTTTTCTATCTATTTTTGGTTGGCCAATTAATTTCTTTTTATTTTTAGTAGAGACGGGGTCTCGCTCTTGCTCAGGCTGGTCTCGAACTCCTGAGCTCCAATGATCCTCCCACCTTGGCCTTCCAGAGTGCTAGGATGACAGGCGTGAGCCACCGCACCCGGCCTTCCCATCAGCCCTAGAAGCAATGATTTTAGCAGCCACCAATTATCATTTGCCTAAAACAATTCTTGATTTCATCCAGGTCGAAAATAGTAATTTCCTAATTTTATCAAGAATTTTTCCTTCATCCGTTACTAGGTTGCCCTCTGTAGAGTTTATACTAGGAAAGCAGCATCCTCAGTCAGAATATTTTTGGGATTCTGTAGTAATAGAAGTTGATAAACCGGTGACTAACAGAAAACAACGGCAGTTGGGAACTTGTTGCATCTTTTTCCTAGCTAAAGCAAGTAACCGAAATCACAAAAGTAAATAGGCCAGCGGCCGGACGCGGTGGCTCACGCCTGTAATCCTAGCACTCTGGGAGGCCGAGGCCAGTGGGGAGGCTGAGGCAGGAGGATCGCTTGAGCCCAGGAGTTGGAGGTTGCTGTGAGCCAGGCTGACGCCACGGCACTCACTCTAGCCTGGGCAACAAAAGTGAGACTCTGTCTCAAAAAAAAAAAAAGTAAATAGGCCAGAGATTTGAAACCTTTCATTTGAAATGTCTAACTTGTTGCTCCAAATCAAGAACGTTCTACTCAAGGACGCCGAGTTTTGTTTTTAAATCCCCACTGTTGCCGTTGAAAAATAAATCTATCTGCTGTCTTTCTTATAGAGAACATGCCAACAGAGAACGTGTGGGTCTCAGCAAAGAAAACCTGTTGCTTAGAGGATGCACCATTAGAAACACAGAGGCTGTCGTGGGCATTGTGGTTTATGCAGGTTGGTTATACTTCTGATTTTCATCCTTGTCTCCTCTGTGCATTTCTACAAGGTAACATTTTTCCCTTGCTCAGAAATACAATCTACGGAAGCAGAAAGAAAATCCTGTCTTGGTAAACTTAATCATGGGGTCTCTGTTTAATGTAAATGGATCACAAAAGCAGACTAAAGTGACAAAATATGTTATGTAACTACGTTTTTTATTGAATTGTCTGCCAGAGAGGTTTTTTTTGTTTTTTTTTTTTGAGACAGAGTCTCCCTTTATTGCCCAGGCTAGAGTGAGTGCCGTGGCGTCAGCCTCGCTCACAGCAACCTCAAACTCCTGGGCTCAAGCGATCCTCCTGCCTCAGCCTCCTGAGTAGCTGGGACTACAGGCATGCGCCACCATGTCCGGCTCATTTTTTCTACAAATTTTTAGTTGGCCAATTAATTTCTTTCTATTTTTTTTAGTAGAGACGGGGTCTCGCTCTTGCTCAGGCTGGTTTGGAACTCCTGACCTTGAGCGATCCTCCCGCCTCGGCCTCCCAGAGAGCTAAGATTGCAGGTGTGAGCCCCCGCGCCCGGCTCATTTGTCTCTTTTCTGCTATGTTCCATGTCCTCTGCAGGTCATGAAACCAAAGCAATGCTGAACAACAGTGGGCCACGGTATAAACGCAGCAAATTAGAAAGAAGAGCAAATACTGACGTTCTCTGGTGTGTCCTGCTTCTGGTCATGATGTGTTTGACTGGTGCCCTGGGTAGGTAAAATTCGATTGTTTGCTGACATCTTTTCAACAGGACATTAAAGTATTTTATTCCAAAATGATATTTATGACTGTTTGACTTCCGCAAGGGAGCTTTTATTTGTTTTCTTCACATCTCATCTCTCTCATCTTTTGGCTTGAAAAACTTTAATGTTGACCCTACCCACTTCCACATTGCCACCGGACTGAAGGGACTTGGGAAGAGGTTTAAAGACAGAGAAATGGGGACAGGAGAATGTATAGCCTTTCGATTTGAGTTTGTTTCCAGAAACAAGCAATTTGGTGTTCCGCTAAAATGAAAACCCTCATCCCTTCTCCGTTAGGAACAAGAGTTTTTTTGTTTGCATAACAAATATATATGTCGCATCTTTTTGATGTCTGTGTACTTTTTTTTGTAAGATCATGGGATCTGGTTGAGCAGATATGAAAACATACTCTTTTTTAATATCCCCGAGCCTGACGGACGTACTGTATCTCCGGTGTTGGCGGGATTCTATATGTTTTGGACCATGATCATTCTATTACAGGTAATTTCCATGAAGCTTGTCATAGAGTTTTAAGATCTTTGCTATTAGTCCAGCTACATTCATTTTCTCATCCTTCCTTTAACCTACTTTGACATTTTTTTTTTTTTTTTAATTGTTCGGATCTTCTTAGGTCCTGATTCCCATTTCTCTCTATGTTTCCATTGAAATCGTCAAGCTCGGACAAATATATTTCATTCAAAGTGACGTGGATTTCTACGATGAGAAAACGGATTCTACTGTTCAGTGCCGGTCCCTGAACATCACGGAGGATCTTGGACAGATTCAGTACCTCTTTTCTGACAAGACAGGGACCCTCACTGAGAATAAGATGGTCTTTCGAAGGTGTAGCATAGCAGGATTTGATTATTGCCATGAAGAAAACGGTGAGTGTTGAGTTTCTACCAAAACCAACCTTAACGTCGGTCTTTTTTTTTTGCAACCACTTAAATGTCTGAGATAAAAGTGCTTTATTTAAGCATTGGGTACTTCACACATCCAAGTGGGCTTTAAGCATCATTATTGTCCCTTCAAGAGGGACAGAGACTTCTGGTTCTCATTAGAATCACGTCTAGAACTATTTAAAAATGCAAGTGCCAGGATCCCAGACCAGGCCTGTTGAATCAATATCAAATCAGGCCTTGTGAGTCTGAATCCTGTGTCCACTGTCACAAGCTATGTGACCTGGGCCAAGTTATCTCATTTCTCTGTGCCTCAATGTAAAAAGGGTCAATGATAGTATCTACCTCATTGAATGAGAAAGAGGATGAGAGAAAATAATTCATGCAAAGGCCCTTAGAACAGAGCACGGAGGAGAATGAATTCTCCATAAACATTAGCTGCTGTTATTATTGTCGCCGTAATTATTGTTGTTAAAATAAGAAATAGGCCTGTCTCTTAAGAAGTCCGTGGTCTGGCGTGGGTGTGTAAACATAAAATTACCACATGAATTGTCACAAGATCAAAGTCAACGTTCTTGTTCCATATTGTTTTGGTTTTCAGTCAACATTGGAGGCCGATTTTTGCACCTCCAAAGATGTGACATATATATTTATTATGCAGACAAAAAACTCTTATTCCTAATGGAGAAGGGATGAGGGTTTTCATTTTAGCGGAACACCAATTGCTTGATTTTTGGAAACAAACTCAAATCGAAAGGCTGTACATTCTCCTGTCCCCATTTCTCTGTCTTTAAACCTCTTCCCATGTCCCTTCAGTCCGGTGGCAATGTGGAAGTGGGTAGGGTCAACATTAAAGTTTTTCAAGCCAAAAGATGAGAGAGATGAGACGTGGAGAAAACAAATAAAACTTTGATTAAGCTTTCGTTCTTGGGCCCTTTGGAAAAACACATTGAAAGTGTGATAAACTTTTTGATCCATAGACTAATGCCCACTTCTAGGTACCAAATCAACGCAAGTAACAGGCTGTCATCAGGATACCAGGCATTTGAAGAAGGAAATGGGAAAGGAAGGCATACTGAGGATTAAATAAGGAAGAGAAATAAGGTAGATAATTCGGTACCCAACCCAGTACCTACCTTCAGGCAAAGAAAAGAACAGACATTGTATATTTTCTCTTGTGAGGCAAGAGTTCTTGCCCCACGTTGAGGCATTCGTGGAACTAATTAGAACCTACTTTAAGAGAAAGATTAGAAGTCTTTATTGCCATTTGGGTACGTTTTTCTTATCAATAAGATACGAAACTTTTATTTGTCATGCCCAGTTTTTATAAGATTCTCACTGGGCCTAGAATTATAGCTCCGGTAGCTTTGTTTTCTGAATCACGTTGTAACTCTACCGGTCTTATTTACTTCTCGTAACTCTTCACAAAGTGATTAATGGTTGAGTCACTCCGTGTCTTCTTGATTCCATTCTTCCAGTTCTACTTATTGAGCAAGTTTGCCCTACAGTAATAGCCGAGCTACCCGGCATTTTACTAATGACACAGTTGCACCATGACTGGCTTCTCTAAAGGTGGCTGGGAGAAGTTGCACGATCATTAAGTACAGCCTTCATGTGTATATGTGCTTTGAAGTTTTCCACTTATCTGAGGTTCTGTTCTCCAGAGTTTCAGTTACCCATGGTACAGTACAGTAAGATATTTTGAGAAAGAGAGAGAGAGACCACAGTTGTATAATTTTTTTACAGTATATTGTTATAATTATTCTATTATTATTGTTAATCTCTTACTGTGCCCAATTTATAAATAAAACTCTATCATATGTATGTATATACAAATTGTATATGTAGGTTCTGTACTATCCATGGCTTTAGGCATCCATTAGGGTCCTTATATCTCCCATGGATAAAGGACTGTACTCTACTTTTAAAATGCTATTGTATTTTCAGTAAATTTCTTGAGTTAGTCAAGAATTCACCGGCCTCAGCACTATTGACATTTTAGGCCAAATTACTCTTTGCTGTGCGCATTGTAAGATCCTGAGGATTATCTTTGACCCCTAGAAACAGGGGAGCCTGAGGACTCAAGAGGATTGGCTGCAGAATCTAATAGAACTGGTTTTAAGATTAGCCTGCAACATTTTTGTGAGATGGGGCAAATTATTTGTGAGATGGGGCAGATTATTTGAGTTTATTTATTGCAAAAACATGGGTATTGGCCGGGCGCAGTGGTTCACGTCTGTCGTCCCAGCACTCTGGGAGGCCAAGGCGGGAGGATCGCTCTCAAGGTCAGGAGTTCGAAACCAGCCTGAGCAAGAGCGAGACCCCCCGTCTGTACTAAAAATAGAAAGAAATGAATTGGCCAACTAAATATATATGGAAAAAATTAGCCAGGCATATGGCGCATGCCTGTAGTCCCAGCTACTCGGGAGGCTGAGGCAGGAGGATCGCTTGAGCCCAGGAGTTGGAGGTTGCTGTGAGCTAGGCTGACGCCACGGCACTCGAGCCTGAACAACACAGTGAGACTCAGTCTCAAAAAAAAAAAAATAAAGATATTGTAATTCAAAGATGGGATGGGATGAGATCACCAAGGAAGTGTCGTTGGAGGAGAGAAGGAGCTCCAATATTTGAAGGCTGAGATGAAAAGGCGGCAGGAGAAACCAAGAGGCACCTGTCATCGAAGGAGGAGGAAACCCAGTTAAGTGTGGCATCCGAAAAATGAAAAGAGACATTTCAAGAAGGAAAGAAAGGTCGCCCGTGCCGGATATTATTACCAAGGGCCCCCACACGACGAGGACAGACGTGGGCGTCAGATTTGGCGACATGGCGCTCGCCGGGGACCCAGGCGAGAGCAGCGTCAGTGGAGAGACAGGGACGTAGAGTCATGAAATGGGTCGCAGAGACGTTGGCGTAAGTGAAAGGAGGAAGACCTCTAAGGGGAAGTCACTGCGGGCTCAGAGGGGGGAGGTCACGGATGGAGAGCCTGGCGTTTGAATCATGGAAAGGGCATTTCATCCTGGTAGCAGAAGGAAAGACAGACGTGTGGGTGCAGGTGAAGGTAAGTTGGTAGATTTTTTTTTTTTTGAGACAGTCTCACTCTGTTGCCCGGGCTCGAGTGCCGTGGCGTCAGCCTAGCTCACAGCAACCTCCAACTCCTGGCCTCAAGTGATCCTCCTGCCTCAGCCTCCTCCCGAGGAGCTGGGACTACAGTTGCCCACCATCACGCCTGGCTAATTTTTCTGTTTTTTTTTTTCTGTATAGAGACAGAGTCTGTCTCTTCCTTAGGCTGGTCTTGAACCCCCAGCCTCAAGCAATCCTCCTGCCTCAGCCTCCCTCCGGAGTAGCTGGGACTACAGGCATGCACCACCATGCCCGGCTAATTTTTTTTTTTTATATATATATTTTTACTTGGCCGATTATTTTCTTTCTATTTATAGTAGAGACGGGGTCTCGCTCTTGCTCAGGCTGGTTTCGAACTCCTGACCTCGAGAGCGATCCTCCCGCCTCGGCCTCCCAGAGTGCTGGGATGACAGGCGTGAGCCACCTCGCCCGGACAAGTTGATAGGTTTGGTGACAGGGGAAAAAAAAAATAGAGAGTTCCTCTCTGGTTATTTCTGCTTTTCTGCATGAAGGGTGAGGCAGGTTCCTCCATGAGGGGCGTGGAGGTGGCGGGTGGGGTTTGACACCCGGGTTGGAGAGTGCAGAAGTGGGGTGCGAGGGTAGCTGTTGAAGGAACTGCCTGACCTTCAGCTTCCCAGATGATGACTCAGTGTGACTTTTTGTCCCTCAGCCAGGAGGTTAGGGTCCTACCAGGAAGCCGGCTCTGAAGATGAGGAATTTGCAGACACTTTGAGTGGCTCCACCAGCAATGAGGCGACACCCAGAGCCGACGGCGGCAGGACGGTCCCCAACGCGCCTTCTGGAAGCAAGCCCCCGAGCCAGCCCGCCGGGAGCTCGGGTGCTGTGGGAAGTGGACAAGGAGCCGGGGACGTGCCCAGCCCCAGGCAGGCTGCCTTCAGCAGCCCCATCGTAAGTCCCACGCCCGCCTGGCACCTTCCATGGCCCCCAGTGTGCCCTGAAAGAACAAGCTTTGCAACCACGCCAGAGCCAGGCTCCCCTGTGCTTCCTCTGCCTATGAAGAGACCACACAGGCAGGGTGAGGTGGCTCACGCCTGTCATCCTAGCACTCTGGGAGGCCGAGGAGGGAGGATCGCTCGAGGTCAGGAGTTCGAAACCAGCCTGAGCAAGAGCGAGACCCCCCGTCTGTACTAAAAATAGAAAGAAATTAATTGGCCAACTAAAAATATATAGAAAAAATAATTAGCCGGGCATGGTGGTATATGCCTGTAGTCCCAGCTACTCGGGAGGCTGAGGCAGGAGGATCGCTGGAGCCCAGAAGTTGGAGGTTGCTGTGAGCGAGGCTGACGCCACGGCACTCTAGCTCGAGCAACAGAGTGAGACTGTGTCTCAAAAAAAAGAAAGGATAAAAGAAAAAAAAGAAGAGACGACATAATTGCAGCTAGCACGGTGTGAATAGTGCCCTCTCTTTTTAAAAAGAGTCGGAACTCATCGGTTGCTGTTGGATGAATCTATGATCCAGGGAGAATTCCAAGCATAATAAAATATATTTCTGGCATCGTGTATTTCAAAATGAGAAGCACACTTAATCAACTAGATTTTGGTGAGAGCTGTTGTGCCTGTTTCATTTAATAGTCAAGGTAACTTCCATTTATGATGTATACTCCAGATTTTCCATTTATTTTTATTATTTTTATATTATTTATTTATTTTTTTTGAGGTAGAGTCTCACTCCGTTGTCTGGGCTAGAGTAAGTGCCATGGCGTCAGCCTAGCTCACAGCAACCTCAAACTCCTGGGCTCAAGCGATCCTCCTGCCTCAGCCTCCCGAGTAGCTGGGACTACAGGAGCCAACCTTGGGAGGTGAGGCAGGATGAATGGCTTGAGCCCGAGGAGTTTGAGGTTGCTGTGAGCTAGGATCACGCCACAGCATTCTAGCCTGGCAACAGAGTGAGACTCTGTCTCAAAAAAAAAAAAAAAAAGGCTTATGGGCATGCAAGAAAAAAATATCAAAAACTTCTGTTTTTAAATTTTTAATTTTTTTGAGACAGAGTCTCCACATCCTGTTGCCCAGGCTAAGTAAATGCGTGGCATCAGCTAGCTCACAGCAACCTCATCTCCTGGCTCTAAGCGATCCTCCTGCCTCAGCCTCCCCGAGTAGCTGGGACCACAGGCATGCGCCACCACTGCCCGGTAATTTTTTCCTGTGTATTTTTAGTTAAGCATTAATTCCTTTCTATATTTTAGTAGAGACGGCGTCTCGTCTTGCTCAGGCTGGTCTTGAACTCCGGACCTTGAGAGCGATCCTCCCGCCTGGGCCTCCCCAGAGTGCTAAGAAGACAGGCGTGAGCCACCTCGCCCGGCCCAGTATCAAGAACTTCTAAGGGAAACTTAAGGCTGGCCTAAAAGACAGCCAGAGTCCGGGACTCGGCGCAGTGCCCGATTAGGGTTTGTCACATGCTAGGTTTCAGTAAACGTGGCTTAATCCTAAACAAGGGAAAGGACGGAAGAGACAGCGTGGACCCGGCGGCCTCACCTTCTTGGCGATACATAACGTGCGCAGGCCCTGTCTGGCTATTCGTCCCAGGTGTCTCTGGGTCTTCTCCCCTTATTGTCACCTGCAGTTTCCTCCAGACTTGCTTCACCTGCAACGATGAACAAAGCAGGGGGGTCCTACCCCGTCTGCCCAGTGACAGACACGTTTTTACAAACAGAGACGGCTTAATCCGCAAGAAACAAAAGGCTTTCTGGTTTTCAATCCCAGATGGCTATTTATAAAGGGACCCCTCAGAACAACCCTTTCTCCCTTTTCCTTGGGCAGAGGAAAATACAAGAACTTATTAAAAAAAAAAAAAAAACCTGTTCCCGCTAGGCGCGTTGACTCACGCCTGTAATCCCTAACACTCTGGGAGGCCAGGTGGGAGGATTGCTCTCAAGGTCAGGAGTTCGAGACCAGCCTGAGCAAGAGCGAGACCCCGTCTCTACTATAAATAGAAAGAGACTAATTGGCCAACTAAAAACATATAGAAAAAATTAGCAGGGCATGGTGGCGCATGCCTGTAGTCCCAGCTACTTGGGAGGCTGAGGCAGGAGGATCGCTTGAGCCCAGGAGTCTGAGGTTGCCTGTGAGCTAGGCTGCCCGCCACCGGCCAAGTCTCACTCTTTAGCCTGGGCCCAACAAAGTGGAAACTCTGTCTCAAAACAATACACTGTTCCGGAACATCAAATAAAACCAACAAAATACTACAATAGTGGGCAGTTTACTGAGTATCTTGACATTTGCCTATAGGCAGCCTGGCCAAAGGCTGTTCACAAACATGTGGTCACTAAACCTCTCCAGAGAACGCTATAAAAGGGCTAGTGAAGACCCTGTGCATGGCCGGTGCCGGTTGGCTTCCAGGTCCGTGTATCCTAGCTCTCCTGGAGGCCGAGGCGGGAGGATCGCCTCCAGGTCAGGAAGTTCGAAACCAGCTCTGAGCAAGAGACGAGACCCTCTCTACTAAAAATAGAAAGAAATTATTGGCCAACTAAATATATATCTAGAGAAAAAATTGCCGGCATGGGTGGTGCATGCTGTAGTCCCAGCTACTCGGGAGGCTGAGGCAGGAGGATCGGCTTGAGCCCAGGAGTTTGAGGTTGCTGTGAGCTAGGCTTGACACCATGGCACTCACTCTAGCCTGGGCAAAAAAAAAAAAAAAAGACCCCATTTGCATGGAAGACGTGACGGCACCTGGAATAGTTAGGTGACTTATCAAAAACAGCATCAATGGAGGTCAGACCCGAACCAGGACCTGGTAGCCCCAAACCCTATTTGCTTCTCCGCCAAAACCGGGAGGCAGCTTCCCCTGCCGACCCTGGTGCAACCGAGCCCTAAACAACTACTTCTTGCTTTCATAAAGCTATCGAGAGCGGTCTTGATTTTTTATTATTTATTTATTTATTTTGAGACAGAGTCTCACTTCCCTTGCCCCAGGCTAAAGTGAGTGCCGTGGCGTCCAGCCTCCGCTCACAGCAACCTCCAACTCCTGGGTCAGGCGATCCCTCCTGCCTCAGCCTCCGCTCCCTGAGTAGCCTGGGACTACAGGCAATGGACACGCCCGCCTTCATTTTTTCTATATATATTTGCAGTTGGCCAATTAATTTTTTTCTATTTTTAGTAGAGACGGGGTCTCGATCTTTGCTCCAGGCTGGGCTCGAGATCCTGACCTCCGAGAAGCGATCCTCCCGTCCGCCGTCCCAGAGTGCTAGGATGACAGCGTGAGCCACCGTGCCCGGGCTCGAACTCCTGACGTCAAGTGATCCTCCCTCCTTCGCCTCCCAGAGTGCTAGGGAGACAGGGATGAGCAACCCACGAGCCCGGTGGCTCGAACTCCTGAACCTCAAGTGACCCCCCTCCTGGTCCTCCCAGAGTGCTAGTTACGCATCGACAGGCGAAGAGCCAGTGGCCCTTTCCACTCCCGAATCCCTTCCCTCGGGGTCACCTTCGGAACCTACCGCGGTGGACCGGTGGCGAGAGACTCCATGATGGCAGAGTCGGCGCCCTTGGTGTAGACCACGACCCGGTTGGAGAGCGGGTGCCGGACCACCACGGACATCCTCTTCCTCCCGGAGTCGAAGGGCAGGACGTGCAACAGCGGGAAGGTCAAGGGCCCCAAGGCGGCCAAGTCCACGGTGACCTGCTCCGGCGTCCGGGCCTGCAGGGTGCACCGGTAGGCCCTGGCCGCGTAGACCAGGGCCGCCTCGTCCGGACTCTCCGCCTCGTAGCAGAGGCCAGAGGCCGGCGGGCGTCCAGCGAGGGCCTCCACCTTGCCGTTGCTGAGTCCCGGGTCGCTGCCCCGTCCCTCGGTCTCCCCGACAGCAGGCCGAGCTGCTGGCGCCCTGGGGACCGTCCCTGGGCCTCTTGGAGCCCTCCTCCTCCTCCACCGGGGAGGCCAGCCTCGCCCGGCCAAAGAGAGGCAGTCTGCTCACCAAGGCGCCTGGAACCGCAGACGCTGCCTCCCTCCCGCCGGCCGGCGACGGTGAACTTGACCTTCGCACCGACAACCTCTGGAACAGGTTTTTAATCTCCTCCAGAGACCTGGTGGGCATCCCGCTCAGGGAGGGGCGTCTGATCTGAGCAAAAACAACCGAGCAGGGTCTCAACGGCGCAGCCAAAAGCCGCCTGTGACAACGTCAAGGGCAAACTGGGAATAAGTCACACGCGCACAGAGTCGACGCGCTCTCAAATGGCTCGCGGCCTGTTTCCCAGCTACAGCTGCCACGGAAGGTATTAATAACAAAGTAGCCACAGGCCGGGCGCGGTGGCTCACGCCTGTCATCCTAAGCACTCCGGGAGGCCGAGGAGGGAGGATCGCTCTCAAGGTGGTCAGGAGTTCGAGACCAGCCTGAGCAAGAGCGAGACCCCCGTCTCTACTAAAAATAGAAGAAAATTTAACTGGCCAACTATAAAAATATATAGAGAAAAAAATTAGCCGGGCGTGGTGGCTCGCGCCTGTACTCCCAGCTACTCGGGAGGCTGAGGCAGGAGGATCGCTCAAGGTCAGGAGTTCGAGACCAGCCTGAGCAAGAGTGAGACCCCCATCTCTACTAAAATAAGAAAGAAATTAATTGGCCAACCTAAAAATTATATATGAAAAAAATTAGCCGGCATCGGTGGCGCATGCCTGTAGTCCAGCTACTCCGGGGAGGCTGAGGGCAGGAGGATCGCTGGAGCCCAGGAGTTTGAGGTTGCCTGTGAGTCGACGGCTGACGCCACGGTACTCACTCTAGCCCTGGCAACAAAGCGAGACTCTGTCCAAAAAAATAATAAATATAAATAAATATAAAGAGTAATAATAATAATAATAAAGAAATGCTCAGGAAATTGAAAAGTTTTCCCTTAAAAATTACAAATTTCATGATTGAGGATCCTAGATGATTTTTGAACTTATCAATCATGCTGGTTGATTTCTG